AAAAAAAAAAAAAAAAAAAAAAAAGGTCCCTACCAACCCGGACAGTGCGGGGAAGGCACCGCTCCAGTCCCGGACCAAGCCGCACCGGACAGAAGAGTCCCGGACTGCACCCCATTCGACCCCGTCCGGTCCGGTGGGAGGGTGCCACACGCGGTGAAGCGGACCGGACCGGACGCTCGTCCGACCCGTCCGCTTGCAAGTATGTATCAAACTAAAAGGGGCGCAACGTTCCCAGTGCGACCAGGCGCGCCCGTTGGGAGCCTCCTGTTTTCACATGGTAGCAGTGGGCTAGCGGTGTGAGTGACCTGTGAGTGGTGGTGGGAGGGAGTGCATGGCAAGGAGGGGGCAGGGAGGATATGGTGAGGGGCGTTAATGAAGCACGCTGCCGTCACCCGTGAAGGCAAGTTCGATGACGCTCTCGTTGGGGTGGTGTGCATGGATGAGGTGCGTTGGGTGACGCCGCAAGGGCAGGTGGGCTATGGGGGGCAGGGGTTTGTTAGGGGAAGTGTATTTCGGGTGACGAGGGAGCCTCAACTTTGGTGTTGTGGCCGAAAGGGAGAAGCGCACTCTCATGTGGAGTGAGAGGGGGAGGAAGGTTGTTCAAGTGGGAGTACCGGGTCGAAAGAAAGTTGTACATCGAGGGGTTCCCCTTCTTCCTTAACGGGGTGGTAAGTAAAACTTTATGAAGGCTTGAACCTCCTGTGGCGACTCGCCAACGGGTTTGGCGAGGAGGTGCCGCATTGTTTTCGATTCTTCTTGGGGGGATTGAAGATGGCCGTTGAAGTTTCCAGTGCTAGTAATGTCGTAGAGCCTAGTGGCTAGGAGTGAGAGGGAGGGTGTCTCCCCTTCCCTGAAAACGGTGGGATAGGGTTTGAGGGGGAAGAGGTAAGGTTGGGATGTTGAGGAAGTGGGGATAAAAGTTTCTCGTTGGTTGATAGTCCTTAGGGTCACTGTCCTGCCCATGAGTGGTTTGGCTTGCTTATACTCAAATAATTACTAATAATCTTCCAATTTTTATCTGATTTTGATTTGATTTGAGTGTTGTCCGATCCTTCGCTTCTTTTTGTGATTTCTCAATTAGTAACTCCAAAGTAGTTGATGCTGCTCAATTTTGATCGATGATCTTAAGAGTCGTATGATTTCTTTGTCTTCGAAATAATTTCATTTTGTTTTTGGAATTCACTTCTTACAAGTTTTCTCTTTCTGCTAAACAATTCTCAAACTGCGGTTTGAAATCCACCTTCTGTCTGATCGTTTTTAATAATTTCATAATTCTAAAATCCGTAAGTCTTATGCTAAACGCTTCTCAAACTGAGGTTTGAGATTCTATTTCAAAAATCCTTTTTTGATATCTAAACCTAAATCTGAATGTTTTTCCTTACATACACATGTCTAAATCCTTTCCTAACCGATTCCCTATTTGGAAAGAATTTTGATTGATTTTCTGAATTTTCGATTCGAGGTCAAAATCCAAGAGGTAGGTCATTTGTTTTTGAAATTTCTTGTTTCCGTGTAATGATGTGGATAAATTTCATGTTTAAATTTTGGTTCCAAATGAGTATGCCGGGGAGTGAATGATTCTAATTTTCGTTTGGTGATGGAAAGTGGATTTTTAGGTTTGTCCTTAGGGGGCTGTTCCATATGGAGAGGGTTGGGATGAAGGTCGGGGGAACCACTGTTCTGCGGGGACTGGCTTTTGGTGGGAACTGCTCGTTCTTGAGGGAGTGGTGGTTCACTAGGGGGCTTGTCTTGAGCGGGGGTCAATAAGGGGAAGGGGTCACCCCTTGACGGGGGCAGCTTAAGGACAGGAGGGAAGGTTTTTATGATCAGATGAGGGCAAATTTGCCTCTTTACACGATGGAGAGGTGATGTCCTCTCTTTTCCCCTCTGTGTTGTGGAGAGAAGGGGTGGAGGGATGAGGTGGTTTTAGGGTTGTCCTCGGGGACTGCCATGCTAGTTTTCTCTGTATTGTTCCAATCTTAACGGATGTCCTGAAGGACACAGGCGGGGGTAAGGTCCCGCAGGCTATCGAGCTGCCGAGCAGCTCCCTAGGCAAAAGACCGTGGCTGGTATTGCTAAGTCAGGCCCACTAAAAACCCTAACCAGTCCCTAAAAGCCAAGGCTACAACAATGACCTTAAAAGCCATCATCGACATTGGCCGACCTTAAGTAACTCAGGTGCGCAATACTCTACTCGTCTGCACCCCTCAGATTTTGAAATTAAGCCTGTACTCCACCGACTCAGGCGTATACCACCTACGCTAGGTCTGTTGGCTATAGTATCATGCTGACCCTGAGCTTGGTATCAAGACTGGTCCTTGTCTGAAGAACAAGCGAGGACCTCAAACACCGTCTAAGTTTCCTCCGCCACATGGCCCGCCACCCATCGACTCGCATGCGCATTGACCACCATCGATCCCGGCACCGCGCCCAACTCGAGGAGGTCAAAAGCAATAAAAATGAATAATAAAGGTAATATAAAACCTACGGACGATAACAATAAAGCCATAACGCAAGGAAAGAGTTTCGACCGTGCGGCAACAAAACCATAGGGGAGAGCCTCGTCGGGCCCTCAACCCCATGGTCCCTTCGCGCGACTCTGATATCCTCGCGTCGTTGCCACTCGACCTCGATCCTTGAATTTCTGTGATGAAAGTCCGATGCTGTAACCGCTAGTGCTAGGCCCAAGATTGAGTGTAGCTTCAATGGACACCTAAATAAACTAATACTGCGCGACGAGAAGATCTACCAAAGCGTTTTCAAAATCACATTTTTGTCGACACAGTCCTCCGCACATACGCACAGGTAAGCGCAACAATCAAGGGGCAAAATCTCTTTAATCCTAGACCAGTGACCAACACCGGTTTTCACAATTATCAAAAGGGAAAAGAGATCACGCGCGCCTTAAGTCTGCGCGCCCACACACTCTCTACTTTAGTCAACCGTCTAGTCAACGTAAACCTCGGAGACAGTCGCGACTTGCTCAGCATATTCAAACTTTAAACCCAACTTATTTTTTGTCGTTTGCAAGAACCAGGGCGGATACCCTTGTAAGGGTATTCGCACCGGCAACACAATGGGTACCGAGGGGGTCGAAAGTGAGGGGAGGGTGGAGAAGAAGGGGCCGGGCCCAATTCAACAAATCCCCCCGTTCTTTCAAGAAAGTTGGGCCCACGACGGTTCGTAGGATGCGCTATAGCAAGCTCAGGAAATAACAGTTGATGCAACTTCTTTCTTTCTTTTTTATGACAGAACTGGGCGGGGAATTTTTGACGCGATTGTCGGGCGGGGAATCTTTTTGAATTTGGAACCTGTGCAGGTTCTAAGAATTTCCTCTTGCAATTAGGATTTTAAATAGGCTAGGAATTTGGGAGCGTCGTAATTTTTGGCTGTAACTTCACGAGGCTCCTTACTCGCGCGGGCATTATTGCGTCCTGTCCTGCGCTCTGCTCTCGTCGCGCCTAAATTTTAATCACAACTGTAATCTCTTTTTGCTCCTTGCCAAGCGCATATATGACTATAATCTTCTCCCTTCTTGATCTCTTCCTTTTTTTGCGTGAAACTTTGCGCCTCTTTCCTGCCTATCTCATTGGTCAGCAAGTGCTTGATTGGATCAATGCGTGGAAAGCGGCTATGTCCCCCACGCTGTGGCCCGTCCATGCAACAGTAGGCACTTCCTCTTCTCTTCCACTTCAGCGCAATCCCGATTTTCTCTTGCGGGTACTAAGTGCTATAAATTCTGCAAGCCCGACTAATTCGCTCCTTAATCGAACTTGGGGGTTAGCGTGGTCGAGAGGATCGACTAACGAGTAGAGATCGAATGGTGAGTAGGGAGTTGGGCGATCCGATGAGCTGGTGCTGGGTATGCGGGGTTCACGTGTGGTCGTGAAGGACAGTGGCACACGGACGAGCCTGGGTTGCATGCTCAAACTAAGTGGGGTGACAACTTCGGATTGTTGGTAGGTGCAAGGCGACAGACTGCCTGCATCGGAGAAGCGTAGAGAGCGCCCACGAGAACGAGAGAGAGAGAGAGAGAGAGAGAGAGAGAGAGAGAGAGAGAGAGAGAGAGAGAGAGAGAGAGAGAGAGAGTGAAAGTGGGAGTTATCTCTTCGTATCCTCTGAGTAATTTTGATTTCAGTTGTGGCCATCTTCGTTTACAACAATCTCGGACCTTTTTTTTTTCCCCTCTTGTTGCGTGAATTGTCTCTTTCTCCCTTATCCCTTTCCTTTCGATGTTGGATGTATGACCGCTGTTGCACTCAATTGACGGTATGATTGGACACTATGAAACCGCGCGCTGATTGAGCGCGCGGTCGGAGCTGAAGTTTTTGAGCGTCGCTCAATCCCGCGCTCAAAGCGCCTTGAGAGGGGTTTGAGTGGGCGGTTTTTTTTTTTTTTTCGGGTAAAACATGCTAAAAAAAAAAACAAAAACATATAGGGTTGTAAATCTTTTTGAGATCTACAAGCCTATGTTTTTTATTTTATTTTTTGAAGTTTCCCTATATTTTAAAAAGATAAAAAACCCAAAAAAAAAAATA